GCTGCCAGCTGCGCTGTTAAAACAAAAACTGCAAGAAGATCAAGCATTTTTACTGCATAGCCAACAACATCTGCAGCACAACGACGTCACGGAACTGCAGGCAGCCCGCTCGCTGCAAGTGGCCGCAGCCGCCAATTGCGACAGCCTGCTGAGTGGCTATGGCAATAAAACCGGCCAGGCGCTGGTTGATCATATCCTTAGCAGCCCGAACGAATGTATCAATGACCTCTTTAGTGGCAATGCCACTGCAATAGCCGCCTTCAGCGCCAATAATATGCAGGCGGTCGCCAATGCCACTGCCACACTGGCCAGTAGCTACAATGCCAGCGGCAGCGAAGTCACGCTGGGTAAGCTCTATTACTTCCTGCGCGCCGGTTATTACGTGCAGTACTACAACCCAAGCAAAATCCCTGCTTACCCAAGCTGGGTAGGCACTGCGGTGCGCAGCGCGCTGGATAACCTCTTTGCCAACCCGGCGTTTTATCAAAACTCTGAAGTCAACGGCGCCAATATTCAGGATGCACTGACGCTGGTTGACAGCGCCGGCGAAAATGCCCGCTATTTATATGTGGTAAAAGAGTGGTTACAGCGCTGGAACCAAAGTTATGCCAGCAGCTTTAACATGCGCGGCGCGGTCAACCAGATCTTTACCATTCTGTTTCGCGGCCATCAGGTGGATGCCTTTAAAACTGCCACCGCCAGCGATACCACGTTAATCAGCCGCTTAGGCAGTTTTGCCCGCAGCAGCTGGATGCTGGGCACCGAAGCGGCCTTTTTGCAGGAAAATGCCGCCGCTGAATTAGCCCGCTTTTTACAATATCCGCAGGCCGCCATTCACCCGACAGTGAAAAATGAAGTGCGTCAAATTTTAAGCACTTACAGTATGAATGGCAGCGGTAGCAACATTTGGTTAAAAGCCGCCAGCAGCGCCGACTACTACGGCTACTGCAGTGAGTTTAATATTTGCGGTTTTGCCACCCAGTTAGAAGCGCAGGTCCTGAGC